GACTATTCACCCATTTATCCACCTTTCTATTTATACACTCCCTTTACTCACCCACTTATCCACTCACTTACTTACTAATAAAAATATAATTTAATTATCTTAATAATTTTTAAAAAATATAGTCAGTTAACAAATCAATTGATAAGACAATACATATAGTTACCAGAAGCAAACTATTAAAGTTTGCTGATTATAAAAAATATTACATTAATATTTTCAGTATTTTCAAAACATTAATAATACAGTATCTATTATATATTATTTAGTGGTATTAATATTAATCTAAATCTATTGTATATTTACTTGGATTGAGATTCTATCCATAATAGACTAATTTCATATAAAAATACAAATACTGTTTCATTGAAATACCAAACCATTAAATAATTATGTCTTTTATGTTCTCGTTTTTACTGTTGTCCTCATTGTATACTACATTAAATAATATTTCAAAAACATATCTATCATTTAATTAATAATTTTATTAAAAAAAATCAATGTTATTATTACATTCATAAACCCGTAGAATAGCTAATATAAAAGTTGTACATAAAGTTTTATTTTTATTGCTTTCTATAAAAAATAATTTGATTTCAATTGCATTTAATGGTATTGTCGCCCGGATTTTGTCTATTGGAGTGAATTACAATTAATGAAAAATAATTGAAACGAGAAATAAATGAAATTAAGTTAAATCTACACAAAATGTTTGTTACAAAAAATATCAACAAAATAGAGATAAATTATTTGAAAGAATATTATTTGAATTGAATCCAAAAGTATTAATTAGATTGAACTCAATGTAAGTCACTCTTGCATTCGCTTAATTAGACAGTGTTTGCAACACATTATATTGAAGTTCTCTTTAATTAAACTCTCTCTCTCTCTCTCTCTCTCTCTCTCTCTTTCTTTCTCTCTTTCTTTCTCTCTCTCTAAATATATCTCTCTCTATATATTGAATTTATTAATAATTTGTTTTTACAAATTTAGTTATAAAATAATAACCATTAAATTAAATTTTTCAAATGTAACAAATACTTTGATATATATATATATATATATATATATATATATATATATATATATATATATATATATATATATATATATATATATATATATATAGATAGATAGATAGATAGATAGATAGATAGAGAGAGAGAGAGAGAGAGAGAGAGAGAGAGAGAGCGCGCGGATTGGAGTTTATATTGGATTAGTTTATGATTTATGATTATTACAAATAATTGATTGAATAAAACAATATTTTCGAGATTGAGGTTAAGGTTTGTACACAATTATAGTTAAGGCAAACCCTATGATTTAATATAAACTTAATCTTCTTATGGCATCCAATAGTCAATAGAAATACAAACAGTAATTACATTAACCAATGAGTTATACAATTATTATAAAACTCAAACACTTAATGTTAATTCAAAGAGGGATAGTCTTTATAACTTATAACTTATATACAATTGTTAATAAATATAAGTTTTTTGTCCATAAATATCAATAGAAATCCTGTCATAAGTTTGATCTAACGATACAAAAATAGATTCTTTTTTATTAAATATTTCTTTATTATTATATAAATTGTTTGATAAAAGCGTGGGTTTTGGAGTTTAATAAATATATTTTAAAAATTATTTTTTTTAATGAAAAAAGCAACAAAAATTAATCTCATTTTATTAATCAAATAAATTTTCAATTTATTTATATTTATTATTATAATTATTTTTATTTAGTAAATGGTTTGAGTATTAATGAGTTGTATAAATATTATGTACAATAATGTTGTCGATGTTGTTGTTATTATAATATTATCCAAAGGGATGATTGTTAGACACAATTACATAAAAGAAGTATAAATCGATTACTAGAAATAAATATGTAATATATGTATAAATATTGTCAGTGTTTAGATGTATGTGTTTAAGGACTTGTATGCAATGAAAAGCTATTTTAGTAATGCATTGGCGTGTAATTCAATCAATCATTTAAACTAAAACAGAAATCATGTTAAATGTCTTATTTTATTAGTCTCTATGAATGCCAAACATTGCATTTAAAAGCACTTTAACAGCACGTCTTCACTGATTATTTTCAACAATTTTTTAAAAAACTTTGTAATAGAGAAAATTACGTAAAACTTTTTTATTTCATTAATAATATATAAATTATATTTAATGTAATTTAAGTTAATTAATGTTTACTTTTTAAGGCACGATATATTCATAAAATTAGTAATTATAATATATTTTGATAAGTTATGTGCGTTTGAATTGCAATTTAAGTAAAACATGTTTTATAAATTATGAAAGAAAAAAAGCAAAAGTCAATATAATTATATAATGACATAAAATGTCTAAAATGTTAAATAAACAAACAATTTATTTGATTGATAATTAAAATAATATGTCATTTAACTATATTTTCTATAACGATAATGATATTTATGCATTGATTATTGACAAATATTTTTATTGTTCATTTATAGTTATCATTTAATTTTTGACAATAAAAAATAAAACTATAATTTGTATTTCAAATCATTAATAATATAAATATAATATTAAACATTTTCTTTATGAATGACTTAATAATAATGATTAGTTTTTTTTGTAAAGTATTATAGATTTCTTATAAGTTATATTTATTTCTTAATAAATTAAATAATGAATGATAAAAAATAAGAATATATCATAATTTTTATAGAATGTTCAATAAATTATATTTAAAAATAAAAACTATAAATTATAATATTGATTATTTGTAAAACAGAAACAATATTTAATGAAAAATCAATTAATTAAAAGAGACCATTAAACAAATTGAAAATTATATATCAATATAAGGGTGCGCTCTCTGGGAATTGTGTATTAGCTTTGCATCAACTGGTAGTGTAGTCAATGCCCATAGTGTTCAGCAAATGTTTATTTTGATTGTATTTATGTCTGTATGTGTATGTGTATGTGTATGTGTATGTGTATGTGTATGTGTATGTGTATGTGTATGTGTATGTGTATGTGTATGTGTATGTGTATGTGTATGTGTATGTGTATGTGTATGTGTATGTGTATGTAAGCTTCAAAAGTACCTCTTAATGAAAAGCTATTGTAAGGATTTAGTGAGTATTGCTTGGTTTGCCATTTAAGAGGCAATGGCTTTGGATTCACATATTGATTGAGATATTGTTGTCCTCTCCTTTCAATTGTTCAACAAAGACATTCTGTCTCCCATTCCCTCAAAAAGTAGTTATTTTGTTTCTTCTGACTATTCATCGGATGTTTCTATATATATAGATTTTATTTAATTATATTAAAAGTTTAGTTGATTTCAATTAAAGCACATTTTGCTATTTGTATAATAAAATAGAGATAACATAGGAAAAGCACATCTAATAATAATAATGAAACAAAATTAAAACCAATTGTATTAAAAACAGTCTATTAAATGCTGAGTATTAAAAAATAAATGACTTGGGGTTCAGTCATATGTCGGACAACTGATAGTTAAAATAAGTTAATCAATAATATTATAAATTCATCTTTTTTTTGTTGTTCTTATTGTAAATATTTTAAATTAAAATACAATACATTGAAAACAAATAGTTTATATACTTTTTTAATGGGGTTTTAAATTATAATGAAATTGCATTCAACTATAAGAACTTTAAAAAAGTATATATATATTATACTTATTATAGTTTGCGTAAACCCCCCGTCAATGACCCAAATGACGGCCTTTATATCCTCCGATTAAAAGAGAGGGAACTAAGGATTAAATGAGTAATGCATTGATTGGTATCATCGGTTGGTTGGGTTGGCGTGAGTTTCTCATTGTCACACATACTGTATAATCTATGACAGTATCCATACATAACAAGAAGTGCCAAAATAGTGACACAAAATGAATTTCCAGTTTATATTGTATATATATTTATTTATATATATTATATATACGGTATAAGTAGTATACTTATAGTTATAGCTATAGCTCGTTATGTTTTTGTTAAGTCGAGTGTATGACAAAAAAAGTGCTACAAATGAATGTCCCCCGAGTGTCAGTCATATATGCCAACAGTGCTAACAAACATGTATTGATATGATTAGGATCAGTACAGATCGTCAATAGCGGCCAATTTAGATGTGACTCAGTCTAGTGTTGTACTGTTTTGCACACATAAGCTATTTTACCTTTTCATATAACAATACCACCACAAATGTCGACTCTCTCTTTCTCTCTCTCTCTCTCTCTCTCTCTCTCTCTCTCTCTCTCTCTCTCTCTCTCTCTCTCTCTCTCTCTCTCGTAATTGAAAGCATTGAATGTATGTTTCATTTCATTTTATTTCATTTCATATATCGTGATATACTATACATTTCCGCAGACATGCCTTCCCTTTAAGCCATCGATGACTTGTCTGACAAAATTACAAACATTTTCACTCAATTCTCTCCAAAGTCTATCTATTGTATGCCTTATTGTGTCTATACTAACAAATTGATAGACTCTTATACTATATATTGCACTCAAACATCTGCTTTTTATATGAATTTATTTATAAATCCAATTACACTTATAGCAGAATATTGCTATACAAACATATACAGTATATATACAGTATATTGTAAATACATTAACTACATTAAGTTAATTATATTTTTTAATTCCACAAACATTTATATCATATTTTTAAAATTTTAATTAATTGTATTATAATTAATATATTTATTAAATAAAAATAGAAAATAATAATTTATTTTATATGACTCAGTGATATCTAACTTTGATTATACTGTAGTATTCAATGTATTACTGTAAGTAAAACTTGACTACAGTATTGAATTGATATTATTTGAATAAAAGTCATTTAGATATTATCAATAGAAATCAATAGATTTATATACAGAACTGTAGACTAAAGTATACTATAGTATACTATTAATATACATTAGACTATAGTCTATAGTATTGTTGATTAAAATAATGTTAAGAGAGGGCTATGGGATGGCTAAGTGGTAACAATAGTAACAGTAGTGGAATATCTACTATAATATGTGTATTGATGTAAATGTGATTTACCTAATCAAATGTGATGCCAACTGACAACTGAGTTAACGTTATTTGTTGCACTGTTGGCCATCCAAGTGCTGCACTGCGTCTGTGTGTCAGTCCGTATGTCTGTCAGCACTGGTAGTGCTGTTGCATCGACTCTAGCCTTCAGTAGAAGTCAGCCGTCGGTGCCGTTCTGTATGAGACTCTATGAGTTAGCGCACAGTTAGTGTCAAGCATTTGATACATAGCTGTGTGAGTGAAACAGTGATCTCAATCTCCCTAATCCTCATATCTTTGCATTGCAGGCGAAGTGCTGTTTAATAAATGCAATACAATATAATGCAATATACGGCACATTAAACACTCATTGATTGCACATTACATACGGCACTGACTGACACATAGAGTAACTGTAAAAATAATAGTCAAAAGTCCATAGTTTGATATAATAGTGATATTAATGATATGATATAAACAGTATAACAGTTGGTCACTATTGTTGCTATTAGTCATGTCGGCCAACACTGTAGCCGAATGTGCGGCCTGTCATAAGGCTATACGGGAACGGTATCTATTGAAAGCATTGGATCAGCTCTGGCATGAAGACTGTCTCAAATGTGTTTGTTGTGACTGTCGTTTGGGTGAAGTCGGGTCCACACTCTTCACTAAAGCTAATCTTATACTTTGTAAACGCGATTATCTCAGGTATGACTCAACATAACCACACTTTTTACTTAACTTTTTCCTCAAATCATTTTTAATGTATTCAAACGTTTCCCTTACTTTCACTATAATATATACATACATACACTGAATCTCTCAAACCTTTTACTATATATTTATAAGTTATATATTATATATGTAAATGTTATGTGAAAATATTGCAAATTGTTTGCAAATCTAATTTTGTACCGAAATATAAATTATATGATAAATGTTGCTTAAAATAATCAAATTTGTTTGTTGTGTTGTGTTTAGTGTTTTAGTTTTATTATTGTTTTTTTTTAGTTTCAAATGTAATGTTAACATGAATTGCCTTATTTATACAGTTGAATTGAATATATATATATTATATATTATATTAGATAACATGTACTATTATATTATTTAATATTTTTTGTTGTATTGTTTCACATAATTATTAGTTATAGGAGTATATGTTTTTAAATAATATGTTATCAAATGTGAACCGAAGCGGTATTTTTGTAATACAATGCCTAAACCGACACCATTTCCGATCATTTACTGAATTGAAGGGAAAATTTAATATTTATACATATATTTAAATTATATGTCTGTTTCGTATTTAATTTTTTTCGTTTAATTAAATTTGTTTAATAAATATAAAACTTTAAAATTATGGTTTAAAAACAATTATATTTATATATTTAGTAATAATATAGGCTGCATTAAATTTTATTTATTTATTATTTATAGTTATTGTAGATAAATAAAACTCATTGATTATTTTAATTGTATTTTAATTTATAAATGAATAAATTATTATTATTTGCTTATAATTTTCTTCAGAGCGCATATTTGAAATACATGAAGAAAATCAAGTTTTTAAAATTAGTTTTTTATAAACTTTTAATAGTATAATGATTAACTGTATGTTTAATAAAATAAAAATACTATTGTGACATTTATTTATATATAAAAAATAAATGTCTGCATTATATGGTAGCAAATCATACATTACTTTTTCAGTTACTATTTATGGTTATTATGAAAATAGGAAAGATTATACTGTATTAACTGTTAAATTAACTGACACAACTTGCAATATATACATTAAGCAATTACATGCAATTTACTGTACAACTAAAATTTGAGTACAAATGTCAATGAAATAAATGTATGATTTAGATAAATTTTATTTATATTTAACAATATAATACATTTTTTTATAAAAGAGAATTTTGTCAATTTTTATTTACAAACTAATACATGAGTATTAGTAAAAATCAATAATTTGCAATATATTCAGCAGTCATATGATATATAAAAATATTTGATATTTATTTTATAGGATGTTTGGTGTGACAGGTCTTTGCTCGACCTGTAATAAACAGATACCGGCGTTTGAAATGGTTATGAGAGCCAGAGGTATGTCTCATCTCATATTACATCAAATTTTTAATTTAGTTTTTAATTTATTTTTAAAGAAATATATTCATATTACTATATAAACGATTTTATTTGAAACATGAAGATTTAATTGATATATTTTTTTATTACTACAAACTGATAAAATAAGAAATTATTGCTCACAATATTATTTTAAATTATGGAAATATAATATATATGAAATTTAATAAGATTTTTAAAAAATATTGAAATGCTTTATAGAGTTAATAAATAATATTGGTTTTTATAATTTAATATAAATTTTAATATAAAAATATATACTTTTTATGTTAATTTCGTAAAAATAACTTATTTGTTTTTTTTTAAAAAGTAATAAAGTGCTCTAATTATCAAGTTTATATAATACAGTATATAAATATAATTATTATGATTGGTTTATATTATTTTGAAACATTTGTAAAAGATTGACATTTATTATAGTTTTAAATGCTTAGAAAAGCAAAATATTAAATAAAATTAATTAATTTGTCTATTTTAGCAATTATTTAATTATAATTATTATATTTGTTTATCAATAGGAAACGTATATCATTTAGAGTGCTTCAAATGTGAGGCCTGTTCTCATGTATGTATTAATTGATTTTCTATGAATTAATAGTTTTATTTTATTAATTATAAAAATAGTAAAATACTTTTATTTATACACTAAATCTAAGATAATAATTACATATTAGATTAATATGAATCTATTATAATTGGTATTTATTTATTAATTAAATATTATATATATACTGTATAGATATTATATATGATATAAAGTAGCAATAAAATATATAAATGTAATTATATTGAATAGTAAAGTGATTGTATTTTGTTTTTGTTTGATTAAATAATTTGATTGAAAATGAATAGAGGTTTTGTGTGGGCGACCGCTTCTACTTATATGACAATAAGGTTTTGTGTGAATATGATTACGAGGAAAGGATCGACTATACAAACGTCAACCAAAAGTCAAGTCTGGATCGCATTAAAAGACAGGTCCAGGAATTGGTCGATGTGTGCGATGGCACCGGTGATGCCGGCTATGCCAGCGGTGACTCACCACTTGATACAAATCGGTAGTTATATTTTTATTTTAGTAATTTTGTTGTAATTCAAATTATTAAAACGATGTCTATAGTTAGTTATAAAGTCAAACATTTGTAAATAATAATTTTTAAGAAAAATTTGATATTTATTTGTATAAAAAACTTTTAAACAGTTATAAATAGGCGACATTTAGGTGGGGATTGCATTTAAAAACTTATATTAATAGAGTTTTGTTAAGTTATAACAAAAGACAAAATGAAAAATTAATTATAAGTATTTGATAATTTTTATAAAAAAAATAAATTGAAGAAACATTTATTTAAGCACTTTTTTGTTATTTTATTACTATTAAAAAGCTTAGACATAATCATCAATTGCTGTATTAGTTGTGTTGTCTCTCCCTTTAAATTGCATTTAAGTTTTTTTGAGAGACTGTGATAATGAAAAGATTACTTTTTGTTGATTTATTATAATGTATTATAAGTTGATGACAAAAATATTAAAACTTTTGATTAATTTTCTCAGACAAACATCAATGAAGAAGAAAAGACAGGCCTTATAAATAAAGGCAACGATTGCTGCAAACAAAGAGACAGTGACAGCCTTTGCTCAGGTATTATATGGTTATACCTCTAAATAAAAGGCAATACAACTAATAGACCGATTCTTGTATTATATAAATTATAATTATATAAATTTATATACACTATAATAAAATGTCATTCACTTATTATTATTATTGAAAATCTTGTATTAATAATGAAATACCGGTATAAATCGGTATATATATATATATAATTTTATTAAATGTAAATTTTTTGACAAAAGTAATTTAATCGAAAAACTTGTCTTTTATTTCAACGTTTTTATTCTGTAAATAACTTTTTTTTTATTAAATATGCCCTACAATAATAATAAAATAACAAATAAAATTTAATAAAAATAATTATCAAAAATATTATAGTAATTTGTATATTTAATAACATTATTTTGATAAAAAACATATATTTTGGATTTTGTTATTATATATTTGAAAACGGATTAGTATTTTAAAATAAAACATATGGTTAGTAATCATTTGTTTCAAAATATTTTCAAATACTATCTGTAAATGTTTTGCTAATTTTAGTGCAATTCAACAAAATAACACACACACACAGAGAGAGAGAGAGAGAGAGAGAGAGAGAGAGAGAGAAAGAAAGAGAAAGAATCAATACATGACATAATGCTGTAAATTTAACGCCAAAATTACACAAATATACGAAGTTTTTTGCCTTTAAATGAAATCAATTTTTGTATATACATTGGTTAAGCATTTTTAAGTTGTCTTTTAATATATATAAAACATACGATTATTGAAATGACGCTTAAACTCATAATCTTATGTTTGGTTATTATTTTGGATATTAGTTTGGTTATGACTATTTGGCTGTTTATTTATACGCAATGCAGACAAACATATATTTCCTACTATAAAACTGTTAGCCTCTCTCTCTCTCTCTCTCTCTCTCTCTCTCTCTCTCTCCTTAGTATCCATTTATTGCGTTATTGCGATCTCCAGATTATTGACACCAATATTATTGTCACTTGAATAGCACTTCTTTCTCCTTTCAGTTATTGTTAAATGTGAAACATATAATGTATTATATAATATGATATTATATAATAATAGTTTTGGCCAAACAAATGGCGACAGCTATAGACGGGTAGTGTTAGTACTGTATAGTAGTGTTAGTGCCAAACAACCAGAATTTATATAAGATTTATATACACAATATATATGACATGCAATGTAACACTCAATGACTGCATTCACTGCAAAACAATACTATTTTTGCTGATTCCGTGAAATATAAATCTTATTTTATAACAATTATTGTATTGAACAACAAAAATATTTGTATATTACTTATTGATTTATAAGTTGACTGCAATGTTAGCAAAAAAATATTTGTACACATATGGTATTTGAGTTACATTTTGGATATAAATCTAATAAAAATAATTTGAATCAATAAAGTAATATATATAATAAAAATTCAATTTTTTTGTTAATGACTTTAAATTTGCATTATTTTGATTAATATTTGTTGTTCACGTCGTTATATGAAATTTTATATTAAATATAAATCTTTAATCTAATACTTAACACATGAAAGACTTGGGTATATTAAATATATTGTGTAAACCATTATTATTATTAAAGAAAATATTTTTCTAACAAAACTCTTTTTTATATAAAAAAAGGTTTAAATGAAAATAAAAAATTAAATTAAATTTGAAATAAAAATAAAGTTAATAATAACAACAATACAAAGAGAAACCCGATTTATAATATTATCAGTGAATTTCATTTATCTTTTATATTTATAAATGCAAATGAAATGAAAACATATTAAAAAAGAGTTTATATAATACAATCACTGCATTTCAAAACATTTAAACCAAAATTTTATAAAATGTTATTTTAGTTTACATTTGAGTCTTATTTTTTATTTAAAATGTGAACTCATTATTAGATTTGTATTAAAACAGCAAATATATAATACAATTTATATTATCATATATTAGACACAATAAATATGTGTGAAATGAAACCGTATTAAAATTACAGATGAATACATTTGAATATATCATATATTAATAAAATATCGTATATTTATTTAATATATTGTGTTTATATATAAAATAGAAATGATATAAAATATATTATATACAGTAATATTTGAATCTCTTTTTCCCTAACCTCTCATGATATGTGTGCCAAACGGGGAGACCTATTGGTGCTGTTATTTGAGCGCCGGTTGGCTTCACATCCGATATTCAGTCATTCATTCATAAGAGAAATCTTAGCAAATATAATATAATATTATTTTTATGATTTGAATGAATTTGACACAAAAATTAATTTATTTTCTCTCTCTTTCTCTCTCTCTCTCCCTTTCATTTTTTAAACATACTTTCCTCTAAACTAATTTTAAGTGTTACTTTTGAATTTCAACATAATTTTGTAATGAAAAACAAACGTTTTGTTGAAATTTCATCAAATAAAATATTATTTATTCTATTTAATAAAAAATGTGAATTAATATATTAATTTTATTTAATAAAATATTTTTGTTGCAAAAATAATTTATATATTAAATTTTATTTGCTTTATATATATATATATTTAATAGAATTCTTTATTATAATAATATATAATAAATTTATAAAATTGAATGACAAAAACTATATCTGAAATTAATATTTAATTTATTAAAAAATTTATGAAATTTTTACAATATACAATATACAATAATTTATATATTGTAAATTTTATTAAATATTAAAAAAGTTTAATATATTAAATTTTTGTTACAATTTTTTCTAATTTAAAAATGATTTATTTATTTATTATTCAAATGTCATTGAAGTGACCAAATGGTGCTAAACATGTATGATATACAGTATATATAAAATTTTATATAAAGCCATAAACAGTGGGAAATACAAGAAGTGTGTGAACCGATAGATAAGTCTATAGAAGCGCTAATGAGACCATTTGGAGGCAATTTGTAGTCACTTTGGGGTCACTTCTCTTATATAATGCTTTAAAAGCCCTTTTGGGACATTCATTGCACTCACAATCTATCAGACGGTGCCGTCAAATGAATTCCCGACATAACATCACAACTGATGATTAGGACATACATTATGGGGTCGGCTCTCATCAGACACGACTGTCTTATTAAATGTTGTAAACAAACAAAAATAGTGATTGAATATATAAAATGCTTACTAATAATTTTATCTAATTAAATCAATTTTAACAACTTTTAATTGATATTACTGTAAAATTTGCATTAAATTTAAATTTTAAAAATTTATTTTATTAATTAATACTATAAATATTTTTATAAAAATTTGATATTTTAAAAAGTCATTTTGACTAAATAAATTTAAAAATTTGTTTAAATTATTTTAATAATATTATAGCAATAAATTTAATGCATTTTCTTTTACAAACATTTGCAATTTATATGTAAAATTTAATATTAACATAAAACAAAAGGCAATTTTGAAATCAATTTGTTTAGATTTAAGCAATAAATGAAAATTTTTATGTATTTTCTTTGCGCTCAAACACTGCATTGCATTCAATCGATTGGATTTATCGGACATTTCTGATAGCAATTTCCAATTCATGCCGTAATGCTATTCAATTGTATTAACTTTAAAACTCAAGTCATATAATACGAGACCATAAAAATAAGCTCCTATTGGATAAAATGACCCATAAATATATTAAACCAAAACAGTTATAAAGAAAATGAAAATTTTATAAGAAAAGCACGTTTCAGCTAATATGATAAAAAGTTATATAAAATATTATAAATATTATACATATATTTATAATCTAATATAAAAAGGCAAATACAGTGTATATTAACATTTAAAAAATTGATATATTTTTGGTGTCTTGACTCCACCCAGACATGAGATGAGAGCTTAATATGAATGTCTATTATATCGGCACAATCTGATAATGGCATTTAAACATACATTTAACAGAGCACAGGTATGTAATATCACGTGATGTTAAACATACTATATATAACAAGTTACAGTACTCTGTACTCAAATAATAAAAAACTTATCATCATTTCATGTATATTAATAGTAAATGACTTTTAATGTTTTAATGTTTAGTACAGTACATTAGTATTGTATTATATTTATATATTATATGCTTTTCAGTCAATTTATAATTAATATATGTAATTTATATATAAAAAACATTACTTAAATATAGGACGTAAAACTTTCAATATTAATATTATATTTATACTAATATTGTTAATATTGTATATTTAACTGATAGAGCACTCAGTTTAATAGAAATCAAGAGATTTTTCTCCACCCAAACATCAAATGCTATGAATAGAAAATTAAGGCATTTTTATTATGCGTTTATTTAATTTAATAGAAAATAATTAGCTTTGAACCATAAATTGGGCATTACCAAGGGTAATCACAAATTATTTTAATGTAAAAATCATTATTATTAAATATTCAAATTATCATTATATTATATTATATATATATATGCTGTACATATATCGTATATATACAATAATATTTATGCTTATAATAATAAAAATATTGCAAAAACTATGTCAATAACTGAAAATAATGTTATTTTATAGTGATATTATTAATTAAAATAAGTGATTGAAAATTTGATTTTTAAAAATTGACTAGCTAAACTTAGCTAATAAATCATTTAAATTCAAAATTATAGTGTTAATTTTTAAAATCTTAAAAACTATATACAGTAACTTCAATATGATATAATATACCGTATTTATGTGTTTAAGGTTTATTTATATTATTTATTTAATATTTATAAAAGGTTTCTATTATTTTAAATGCAAATTATTATGAATAATATTTGTATTACTAATATAATTTTTAAATTATCAAACAAATTTACAATTTTAAATGTACAATTAATAAATTTTATATTATTAGTTAAAATATAGTACACAAAATATAAAATAGTTAAAAATATTTTTATAATTATATAAACGAAAAGTTTAATAAAAAATATGTAAATTTAATTAAATCTTGTTTATTAAAAACTGTTATAATTATAATAGAAAACTTTAAATAATAAAA